TAAATTAATTAATATTTATTATTGAACAAAATTAAAATTAAATTAGCTTAATGCACTTGTCAAATTGGCCTAATCAGAAACCCCACCCATATTTTACCAATTATAGCTTTCCAAAAAGAATAAAATCAGGAACAAACACCTGTCTCCCCGGACCCCGGCCTTGTACGGTTGCAGGGAGAAATATTAAATTTATTAAATTATCTATTAACTATAGGGTTTATGTCACTTTTATTTAGAAACTATTTTTTTTCCCATTTTGGTGCCTGGGGTCCTTCTGTTTTGGGTAGGTGAATCGCATGGCTGTTGTTTGGGTGGGTTGAAGGGTGGTGGGGTGCGAGTACTGCAGGTAGGTCCATGGAATAAGGGCTACCAGATTAAGGGTTGCAGCGTTGTGGCCCTGGTGATGAGACGATGGGGATTGTTTTCTGAATGTATGTGAGGGACAGGGTGAGAGTGGGATGATTTCGGACCTAGGTTCGTCTTGAGGATGTTGGTATGGAGGAACAGTAGAAAGCATGGGTGTGGAAATCGAGATGGCGAGGCATGGTGGCTGTGGCGAGGATTGCAACTGATGTTTGAAAGGTAGAAGATGAAAAGTGGAGATTTTGCTATGAAGGCCCTTGATCTTCAAGAGGTATTGGAGAAAAAATAGTTTCTAGATTAAAGTGACATCAACCTATAATTTATAGACCATTTATTAAATTTTGCCCGAAAAACTATCAACATATGAAATGTAGGACTAGAAACATCATTTTCCCATTCTCGGGAAAAAAAAAAGGGGAAATATCCTTCCCCCAAGGAAAAAAAAAAGAAAAAAAATAGTGTCTACGAATTTAAATATTTTAATATATAAATAGTGTAAATTAAAAAATAAGAGTTATATCTCTTTATATAATTTAAAATTAAATATATATGGGGGGTAGGGACGTGACTCACTTCCAAGCTATAATTTTCATTCATCACGATATGTGTATTATTGCAGGGGAAGAAGGATGAAATAGACGTCGGTGGGTCATCTTGTTTGGTGTTCTGTTTTCAAAAGGCAAATGAACTAATAATTGAGTAGAGAGAGGACCCTAACTCAGATACGAATAAGATACAAAATCCGTGACAACAGTGGATGATCCATTGAGAGTCCACTAATTAGATCTCTCAGGTGTTTTGGAGTTTATCAGCAATGATATTGTGGATACGATTCTAACAAAGTTAAAATAGTAAATTAAAGTATATCTAGTGTATATTGACAATGTGACTAAAGGAGTGCCTCTTATGCACTCGAGTTGTTTTCAGGAGTAGTTATGTGATTTGTTAACCTATTTTAATGCGAATATTCACCTATTTTAATGTGAATATTCTGTGGGTGGAGGTTAAGGCAAACAAACTTTTTTTCTTTTTGAAAAAAAAAAAAACAGTTAATGAATGAAATTAAGAATGCAATTCGAAGCTAATTAAATGATTTTAGTTTCGAATAATAGGTATGCTGATGAAATAAATAAAAATGTAAAATAAAGTTATC